TGTGTATGTGTATGTGCGAATGTAATGCCACCAAGTAAAATATGAAACATATGAAAAAGTCTGACTACACTTTTATTTTACATGAAACCTGAATGTATGCATTATGTGTGTAATGTTTTATTAATCCACATTATTGCAACAAATGCATGCAAGCCACACTTTATCAACCAAATGAGAAGTGAGACAACTTTGATATGAACACATACATACATACTTGTGTTCAGTGTAAATGTGACATCGCAGGAGCACACAGGCACATCGACTTTTTGAATAAGATTCAGTCACTTCGGAATCCGCAATTGAGAATGTTCTCAAATTGAATCAGAACTTCTACTCCAGCAAAAACTCAGCCATTCCGAGCATTAGAATCGTAGAAATTCTGTTGTCAATCTGTTTTCTGGGCTCTCAAACATAATCTACATGAAAAAGAAAGTTTGTTTGTGTAATCGCTTCTTAAAATGAATACGAAATAAATCAATAAGCTATAAAAAACAGATCCATACAAATGAGAGAAAGAAAAACAGGGTGTAACCAGTGAATAGGGTCGATTGAATTTTTCCCCTTGCGCACGATTCCAAAATATATAAGTGTTCAAACTCTCAAAGACTGAAGCGTGGTTATTTTACCTTTTTATTAACCCTGTCATGTATTGGTTCAGTTTTTATTTGCAAAGAAAACTTTGCAAAATAAATCTCAATATGTGAATACATTCTTAATGTCATTTGAATTTATTTATTGAACACGATAAATGAATCCTCATTTTTATACACTCAATGTATGAAATTTCATTCGGGCCGACTTTCGCTATTTGCAACGTTTTTTTTGCCGTTTCTCGAGTACCAGTTATCAATTTTTTTGTGAATGGTCTTATCGAAAGTTTTGAATCGTTTTTCGAGGTCGGTCGTATTGCCTGAATTTATACGTTGCCTGTACATTTCTATAAAAAAAAACCATAATTATTTTCACATAATAAAACAACAATAATATATATATTACCTTTCATTGTCAGGATTTCTTTTGTAGATTCAATTGCATTGAGACATTCCTGCTTCGTTAGACCCCCTTTGGTTTTTTCAGCGAGATATGTAGGTGTGAAATAAACCTCAAAGAGTTGTTTCACATATTTTCGGTCATTCGAATCATCATTCGGAATACTTTGAAGTGAATCATGCTGAACTTTATGCATATGTAAATGCCCACGATAGACCACGAAATCCTACAAATGTGAATCAATTTTTGTCTGTATCTGACGTTCATATAAACAAACTAAAAATTAAATATACATACGCCACATTCTTTCTTATCAACGTCCATTTCTACTGGATTTTTTTCATCTGGAAGGGAAATATTCAACGTTTTTTCTGCTAATGCTTCCAATAGTTGCAACTGAAGTCGATAGTTCACCGAGCGAGCTTCGCGGACATCGGTCACCAAACTTTCAATATCAGCTTTGAGCTGGAAAAAATCACACGCTGTTTCTCAAAGTAAAACTATCAAACCAATTACAAATCACTATATTACCTGTTCAATTTGGGAGTCTTTTAAACATTCGTGCTCAACAGATTCATCCATTTTTTTGAATCGGAACGTACTGCGAAACACATGTATTCAAATGAAACGTCAAAAATTTGCGCGGTCATAGCATATTGAATCAATGAATTTCGAAAATAGTCATTCTCTGTCATATTCGAACAAGTGTTTACATATCCTATGCAGAATCGAACGTTTCAATTCGCACTTTAGTGCAAAAAGTGAAATGATCTATTTATTTAAGAAAGTAAATTTGTTAAACTAGAATATTTTTTACTTTGTGGTAATAACCAATCCTTAACAAACTAAAAAAAATTACAGAACGAGCGGAAGAAATGAAGCACACATTTTCGTAGGGAATCTCCCAATATATTTCGCATATAAAAATTGTTTCAACATTTTTGGTGATTATTAAAATTGGCAGCTCTTCAAATCTGTTCAATTTCTCCAATTAAAAACAAACATCTGAA